TTAGTAGTGACCACCAATTTGGGTTCAGCATAAATGATCAATAAAGCTTGTATTGTATGACGAATTACATTCGAAGCATTTTCAGGTACTATTATATCAGAAGCATAGAAAAAGAAGTAGACTGATTTCATGATGACAAAACATAAATAAGACAACTAATTACGTATAATGACTTACGAGCAATAACGATAGCTGCATTGTAGAGATCGAGAAATCGTGTGACAGAAATATCTGATTTACTTCGAAAAAATTCATATTGTTCAATTATTTGTCGTAATGAAAATTCATAGTTAGGTGGAGGTGATGGTACATGATTGACACACCAGCGTACCAATGTCATATGACGTTCATATATACTTGTTTGCGTTTCAACTGCAAGTAAATCTTGATATTTAGCCAAGAGATGTCTCTCTTCAGAAGTTATATCAGCATTATCGATCCGAACTTGTTCCTTGGTCATGGGTACGAAACACCAATATTCAGGATGACATTTTAAGAATAGTTGCAAAGCAACAGAACACTGTGTTGAATGTGTATACAGTTTTTTTTGACAATCAGGAATCAATCTAAATATATCGAGCTGAGTGAAAATGTCGATGAAAGCATAGAATGGAGTATATGCATACGGATCTGGTTCTCGGTCGTCTTGTAGACGGTCAGCCACGATTTGTCTAATAAAAAAGTTACTGATAATTCGACATCCATATGTACGATGATCTAAATCTCAATCTCGATCAACATAGAATTTTCTGTTCACTCTCACTTACTCATCATCCGATCACGAAATGGTGCTTGACATCGACCGATATAATCATAACGATGACAAGGACATGTCAAAGCATAGATCACATTGGATGTTGTACATGTCTAACGACGATGATACTTTTTTGCTAAGAGTTTAGAACATGGTGCACAAACGATTTCAACTTACGACATCACAATTCAAATAGACTTGATAATTATTCACAAACCGATGAATTTGCTTGTTTGAAAAATTCATTGCTCGTTCAAATCGTTTCGTTAAATCGGATCGCTCATGACAGAAACGACAATTTCGATCTTCACATTTTTTCATACCATAGTGAGCTTTTGGTTCAACATAACTAAATAGACCTGTATAGTTCCAACGTCGTTTAGAATTACGAAATGTACATGTCTTCATGTAGAAACATGACACTAAAATGAATGGGAGCGAAAAACAGAAAAAAAAGCATTTAGTTAATAGTCACGATCTCTATCGAGAATTGTTCGAACAAACCATCCATTTGTAAATAGAATTCTAAAACCATGAACCATTCTTCCATAGATAATTCATAGGATTCTTCTTGTTTTTTTATAAAATAATCTTGTAATGTAAATCGAGAAAGAAGATGAAATAATCGATTTAAATTGATCATTAAGATTATTTGATGAATATTCCATTGGC